ATAATCGGACCTTGTTTGACGGGTGTGTTGCACGTTATTTAGACCAGATGGAATTCGTGGCGGATTCTTGGGAGAAAATAACTTTGTTCCTGCTGCGCACGATTTATTTATTATGGGATGTCATCATTTGACTTGGTTTAATGCGATAGATATTATGCTGTTTTGAAAACTGTCGAGGAATTCATAAATGCCTTATTTATACATTTATATGGACTTCAGATATTCAACGGTGTTCAATGTTTATGTCTTTAGTATAGACTTTAGACATTCAACGGAATGTCGCAAGGCTTTTTTGTTCAAATACGTGAAAACCAGCAGAAATATTCAGGTGCTGGGAAAGTCCGAAGAATAAAGGATATAATCCTGACTTTTCCGTCTTCTAAATGAGCGTTTTCGCCAGCAAACTTTGACAATTCTTATTCAGACGTTGAAAATCTTATTCAGACGTTAAAAATCATATAAATGCAAAATACTTTGCCTATAATTTGAAAACCTAATTTTTTATTTGACCTTTTTTGCTATTTTTTTTTCCACTTGAATTTAAGATATGTGCGCATAGTTTTTCAGCTGATTTCAAGGAAATCACGTCTGATTTTGAGGAACATATTCCACTCCCATCATATGAGGACACATTTTGAATTTATAGTGTTCCAAAGACGTCCTTTATATGTATCTAACTGAACTTTTAATGTCCATTCATGATACCGTGAGACCCCAAGATGCGGACGTAATTGGTGCTTATTGTGACCGCTTTTCTATATTTTATATGTTGGAATGTCCGCATGTCGGATCACATTATCCCATAGACTTCAATGGGAACTAATTCAATTAGTTCTCCAGTTCATTGAAAATTAGAAATAAATCCCATAAAATTTGAAGAAAATGTGTTTCACAACTAAGATACTGAATATATATAACTGAGCAAAAGATTACCACCAAGTATCTTGATTTTTTTTTGCAATCAAAAGGACCTCAAGAGGAAAGAAAAAAGTACTGAACTATGGTCTTGTGCAATATTACATACTGTGCACAGATGAAGGAGAAAACACAAAATTAACCTGTTTTCTATATTTAAATAAATTTTTAATCCAAATTTTGAAAAATAAGTGCTTTGTATTTTTCTAGAAATGTGGGAAAAGTTTCTGTATGTCGAGATAATTGCCGAATATTGGGGCAGATTTTTTAAAGTTTCAAGTTTCCCCAAGTTTAGTCGAATCATCCGTTTACGTCGGGTTCGACGGCATGTCATTATACAGGGACTAACTGCATTTTATTCACTGAAGCCAATATTGTTTGTTTGCTTTGTTTCGCTGTTGTGATTCAGGCATTGCTACGTGAGTTACGTGGACTTCTATCGTTGCACGAAGATGAAGGGCGAGGGCTACGACGCCTGCAATTATTTCAAGAAAGCGTTCGAGTCACTGTGTCCCAAGTCGTGGATCGAGCATTGGGACACTCAGAGAGCCGAGAACCGATTCCCTGGGCCGCTCTGATTGCCACCTGCGGTTAATTCTGATTAATCCCCCTTTCTATTGATTAGCGCCCGCGAGTCTCGATTCAGTTTCTTCTTCTTTATTGGCTCGGGTAATCAATGGAATGATCCCGAACGGGTCGTCGGCGTTCCTTTCTGTTTCTGCGTGTTGATGTA